GGGCGAGGCGGTCTCGAATCATGGGCACAGGTGGTCTCTGTCCAGATGCATCATGGCTGAATGCGGAGAAGAAAAAAAGGTCCTGCTGGCATGTTGTGAACTCTTGGATAATACGCTACGTATGTATATGTAACTACCTTCTGAGTCCAGGGTCCAAGGGTCCACGGACCAATTCATCAAGGGCGTTGTTGATATTTGCAGATGCCGCCTTCGCCTTGCTTGAAGTACGTACTAGCACGACGTACTCCGTACGCCACTTATATAAATATTTTTTTAAAAAAAAAGGCCCTCGGCAAATGTGGCCACGCAGGCGATAGGGCTCGCGTGAGCTCCAGCAAGATGGCCCTTGGCCGACAACAAATGCCAAAACAAATGCTCCATGCTTGGCAGGGATCATGGTAGCCGAGGTGGCTTGGCTTGGCTGCAGTGTCTGCAGTGTCTGCAGCGCAGGGCTTTGCGGGTCCTCACGCGACCAACTGCCCTTTCGGTGAGATATTGGGCGTGCTGTGACACCAGATCCGACGAGGCATGAGGGTCGGGGTCGAGGAATTGACATGTGCACGAGGACTGCACGAGGACTGCACGAGTTCGGTGACGGATAAGAATAAGCGTTTTATTTTGAATTGAGCAGTGGCTTCCCGTCGGTGGTGGCATCAGTCAATTGACCAACCGCGCGTGGTGCCAGTGCCGTCCGACCCGAACGCAGACGTACGTGGAGGCGGCCGGAGGCGGCAATTTGGGGAACGAGCTGGCCTTCAACAGTGTCTGATTGATTATGCTGGCTGTTGCTTCCTTTCGGCCTCTGGTGCGCGTCTCTGCGCTGCTCGTGTGTGCACTATGTGCCACTTCCAGATTGTCCCCAGATTTCTGGATCCCCCCGGTCGACGTGGCTGGAGATGGCCCCCTCACCCATGTCACGCTTCTCGCATGCGCCCCCGGTCCAGCCAACCACATGTCCCATCTGGCATCAAATTCCGTGCAGCTACAAAGTTATTACTCCATTGCACAAGGGCTGTCTCTTTCGGCCGTCGTGTCTGCTGGCTCCTTCTTCCAGTAAGGGCTTCCATGCGGCCCAGATGCTTCGAAGGCGCCGGCTGGCTCGACAGCGGACTAGCCGGCCCAAGTCCCCGCGAGGTGCGGAAACAGCTTGGATCCTGTAGAAAAAAAGCTTTTTGGACCCTTCGTAGCCAGAGGATCGAGCACGGTGGCCGGTGGACGCCTCTGACTGGTCCAATGCACTCTCGCCATCGTCTGTGGTCTCGGTCGTCGGAAACGGACATGGTGCGTCATGGCATCTGTTTAAAGAGACCAGGCGACCTCGAGATTTTGCAGGTCGCTCAGTTGTTTTGGTCAACAAGGCATTATTGCTTTGCTTTGCTTCTCCTCACCAATCTTTGGAGGCAACGAGGTGCTTGACATAAAGAGGAAGCTGCGCTCCTCCTTTACTGTTCTTGTATCGTCAGCCGTGTTGTCGTGCTTGCACACACTCCGTGGTTCCTTCCGCTAGTAGTTCCTGCCAAACACGCCTCGGCCTCCGCGACGGTGGCAGCCGCTTCTTGTATCCCTCACCTCTTGCCTCTTGCCTCTTTGTCGGTTTGAAAACTTGACTTTTGAGGCAAATCTCTTCGACCCTTCGACTTCGGCCGCCATCGACGAAATAACTATTTCGCCTGCCGTTCCTACACTTGCTACAAAAAAGAGGCTCCTCTCTTCAGTCTTGCTCCCATCAATTTGCCACAAAAAAAAAAAAAAAAATCATTGCATCAGACTGGCTGTATCTGTGTGTGTTGGCCCCTTCAGCCCTCCGCTCCCGACACACCCCTTCTCTGCCTGCATCTGTCTCTCGGTGCGCCTCAAAACAGATCCAATCTGCCACCCAAATCTGCCCAGCACCATCTCCCGCGGGGCCCGTGAGATCCAATGGCCGGCCTTGATTCGTCCGAGTCTGATTCGGGAGTTCACCACCACCACCACCATCACCACCACCACCAGTCTATTCCTGGCGAGATTCCCATTCCCCATGGACCTCCTGGCGACCACGACAGTGATGACTTCATCATTCAACACGGTACCCCCGACGAGCAGCGCATTTTCAGCCATGTAACTCGTCCAGACGACTCATATACACCTGATGGTGTGTACTGGGCTGATTTGCCATGGATGCAGCGTGTCAAATTTGTTAGCCAAGTTGACCGCGAGGCTGCTGCCAAGGAATTGAGCACTATTGGCTCGATGATGAAGAAAGATCCCCTTTCTCCCCTTTCCTGGTACTTTCGACATGCCGTTATTCCCGGTGCTGGTCTCGGTCTCGAAGGCTATGTTCTCTTCTCCATTGGTAACTTGGAGCCACTCTTCGCCAAGGTCTGGCCCGAGTGCTGGGGAAAGCATCAGGTTTGCAGCAAGAACTGGCTTGCTAGTGTCACATACCTTGAGATTATTGGTATCATGGTTGGCCAGGTCTTTGTTGGCGTAAGTCTTCCTCCAATCTTACCGCTGCGTCGCCTTACCAAGTCCAATTGCCAACTAATGCCGTGTTTTTTCCTAGGTTATTGGTGACTGGGTTGGTCGTCGCTGGGGCTTGATCCAGGATGCCATCATCATGTTTGTTGGTCTTCTCATGCTCACTGCTTCTTGGGGTCTTACCCTTGAGGGCTGGGTCATTTGCTATGCCTGGTCCTTGTTCTTCTACTCGCTGGGTGTCGGTGGCGAGTACCCTATTACCGCCACCTCTTCTCTCGAAAATGCTGTTACCGCAGGCAAGATGTCCACCAAGGAGGATCGTCTCCACCGTGGTCGCCGTGTCACCATGGCTTTCCTGATGCAGGGCTGGGGTCAGTTTGTCAACCAGGTTCTCCTCATTGTCCTGCTTGTCATCTTCAACAAGGGATCTGGCGCGCCACCTTACACCACCTCAGCTGCTCAATATGCTTTCCGTCTGTCTTTCGCTTTCCCTGCGATTGGTACCCTCTGGCTCGTCTACTACAGAACTTGGAAGATGCCCAACGCTTCTAAGCAACTCGCTCAAGCAAAAAACCGTACCAACGTCACTGGCTACGACGTCACTGCTCTGCGCTACTGCTTCACCCACTTTGGGGGCCGTTTGTTAGCCACTGCCGGCACTTGGTTCTGCAACGATGTCTTTTTCTACGGCAACAAACTATTTCAGGGTCAGTTCATCAAGGTTATTTCGGACAACCCCAACTCTCTCATGACCAACTGGACTTGGAACCTGGTCAACATCACCGTCTCGCTTGCTGGTTACTATCTTGCATCTCTTCTCATCGACAATAAGCTTTACGGCCGCAAGATGATGCAGCAGGTTGGCTTCTTCATGTGCTTCCTCATGTTCGTCATCCCTGCCTTCCGCTACAAGTACTATACTAGTCCTGAAGGCATTCACTCCTTCCAAGCCATGTACTTTTTGTCTTCTTTCTTCAACCAGTTCGGCCCCAACTCTGTCACTTTCCTCATTGCCGGCGAGGTTTTCCCTACTCCCATCCGTGCCACTGCTCATGGATTCTCTGCCTGCATGGGCAAGGCTGGTGCTCTGCTTGCCTCTGTCCTCTATAACTACATCGACGACCAGACCAAGTTCTACGTCGTCCCTTGGTTTGGTCTTGCTGGCATGTTCCTTACCTTCCTCTACCTCCCAGACACGACCGGTCTCGATCTCAAGGAACAGGAGCGCCGGTGGAGATATATTCGTGACGGCAAGGCCAATGAGTATCACGGCATCGCTGTCCACCCACAACATCTGAGTCTGTGGGAGCGCATCTGTGGTCTCCACAAGACCTATGATCCTGAGGCGGACTGGAAGGCCAAGATTGCTGATATGCGAACTGAGTGGGAGGCAGTCCAGGCTACCCGTGGCCCCAAGGAAACTGAAGGTGACCATGATCATGGCATGCCTGACGATGGCGAGTTCTCTGCTGAGATTCATGCCTACTTCAAACGTTCGAGCCCCGGACATATGAACAACTCCTCCGGCGTCCTCAGTGAAAAGGTTAGCGGTGATACAAAATAGCCATCGAATACACCTAAGTCGAATGTATACATTTTTCTGGCGTACCGCGGATATCGCATAGCATCATAGGTTCGAACTGCTTCTTTTGGGCAATGTGCCATTTTGTTTCCGGCGTTTTCAGGCTAAAAGGCATGGCGGTCTTGATAGGGAATCAGTTTTGATGTTGATACCAGTTTTTGCATCATTTGCTATGGAAAATATATATCGCTGTCACAGGCATCTTTAGATGTCGTGTCTATCAAGTCTATCAACTAAACTATAAGTGCAGTTAAGACGATCACTACGCGGTGAAACTAATTTTCATACAAAAACATATCTGGCTTGTTGTGTGATTTGGCCTAGCTTGGTTATAGATTCGTCAATGGCATCTAAATTATGAGCTTCGAATTCTGACTACGGACAAGAGTGAAGAGTGAGCGCAGCAAGTTTCTTCGACACACAAGATATCTTTTATCCATGAACCCCAAGATTTCAGATATTCCTACACGAGAAAGAATAGCGTAAACAAGAAAAAAAAAGAGGGTTGAGAGAAATCATCCCGCGTGGAGAAGATGGAAAATACCTGCCTTGTTTGACAACCATGTACCCGCCGCGTCTTTGAACTCCCCAACACCATGCCAAGTCGACAGTAGTAGGTATATCCCCTCCCATAATTTCTGTTCCACTTTTCTAAACTAGAAACAACGCCAATCCCTCGTGTGATGCGCCAAATCAAAAAGCCGCTCAAGTTTTTACTGCAATGCTCAGATACAGGATGCGTCGCCTTTGGGTATTTTCCTCCAAAAATGCTCCTCCCCACATAAATCTGTGAAGTAGCTACCCTCCCCGTTCGTATGAAAAAATTCCCCTCCATCTACCGCTTCACGCACCTCCTTATCCCGCCTTGGCGTAATGAAGCACAATGGCTTAGCCATAGAACCTCGGGAAAAGAATCAAAATGTCGCCGAAATTAATAGCTGAAACTGGGGTGGCACAGTCAAGACACTCTATTGGGGGCTTCTGTTTGCAACGGACTGATAGAACCTGCCGCCTCCGAATGCTGTGGATGGGTGTGGTTTGCGGTAGGTATCGGCACAGGCACAATAACCCGAAGTACACATTCATCCAAGTGCTCGTAGAAGTCCTGCGCTGTGGCAAACTGGCCCCCGCAAATTGAGCAACGGGCCGCGAAGTTGTGCGTAGAAGCTGGGCCATGGCCGTCCAAAAGATGCGCCAGACTACCGCTGCGATTATTTGTTGGCGTTTGATCAACATTATGGGCTGTGGCAAGATGCCGCTTGAAGACGTCTGCTCGACCAAAGACCTTCTCATATGCGGAACCCACCCCGGGACAGAACGGACAAACCATTGTACCTCGATAATGAGTTAGAGCGTGGCGATTCTTGTCGTACTTCCGAGCAAATCCCTTTGTATGATATTCACAAGTGACAATAGGACACTTTTCTGGGCGCTCTTCCTGATGTGTCAGCATGTGCGCCGCCAGATCTTTGACTATTCTCCCACAGTCTGGGTGAGGGCATTGGCTTCGGTTGTCTGTCGGCCGTGGCCCAGATTGAGTAGACTGACTCGAGCTCCCACGTCGCCACGGATCGTCTATAGGGGACACCATATAAGCCCTAGATGTTGATGCTTCCGGCATGGCTCTGGATGTAGATGCTGACGATTCTGATGCCGGATCGCCACCATCCTCTTCCCCTCCGCTGAGATATTCTGCTTGCATAGGATCAAGTGGTTGCCGTACTTCACGCATCCAATCTTTCAAGACGGACATAGGCGGCCAGTCACCACTGGCTTTGCCACCACGATGAGGACTAAAGTGTGCCCGTCGTAAATGTGCGGCAGCGTTATAATAGGCACCATACTGCTTCTGAGCCATACATGCCTTGCAACTGGATAGCGACACGACTGGTTTGGGGGAAGCATCTCTCGCATTTTCAGGTTCGCAGCAAACCCAACGACGGACCATTGCCGAGTGTTTTGCATCAGTATGTCTCCTTAGCTCGTGTTCCCCTCGAAACCCTTCGGGGTACTCATTGCACTTGACGCAGTACACGCGTCGCAGAGGTGGTCGGTGATAGGGAGACCTAAATCGTGACGGAGAGCCAGGAGCTTTCCATGGAGTTTCAAGCTGCCTCGGGGTTACAGATGCTTCACCTACTGTATGCCGTCTTGCTCTTTCCACCTCTGGACCATACGGTACACTCCCAAGGTCCGATGTGCGACGCTGCGGCAGCCCTACGTCATCTTGGAAACTCGAATGCCACATTTGGGGACCAAGCGGCGGTGCCACCATAGGCAGCTGAGGGCGATGCTGTTCTTGCACAGAACGGAGGATTGGTGTGGACGACAACTGCCAAGCCAAGCTATTTGGTTTTCGCTGCCGAAGGAAGCCATTGAAACCCCAGCTATCAAAATAGCTGTCGCCAAGTTTTAAAAGAAAATCGGCACTTGACTCTATCCCTTCGTTCACCCACATATCTCTCCGTACTAGGTGACTGACACTGTAATAGAGAGACGAGTCTTCATGGGTCATGCTCCCTTCCCAGCTATCCGTAAAGAGCGGGCCGGAGGAACAGAACAGTTGGACCAAAGCCCGGTACATGCTATGGACAACGTGGCTGGTGTTGCCTGTCGGGGATCGTAGTTGGTGCTGGAACACTGATGTAGCATTCAAGGTTGGGGCCATGTCCAGCAAGAGCGTCCTCGTTGCGCTGAAAATACAAACCGAGAGAAACTCCGCTAGAAGATCCCTTGGTCGTTTATCTGATGTAGAGGAGCACATTATCTCAAATGATTGGAGAAACCGTATCAGACAGCCCTCGAGTTGCCGCACGTGCTCGTCTAAATCAACTCCCTCAGGCGGATTCCTTAGGTTGAATGTTGATCCAACACGAAAAAGAGGATCCGGATGGATGATTCCGTAAAATATTGTCTCACGAAGTAATAATTTTGCGGAGTATAACGTTGGAAATGATGCCTCCTCATTTTCTCGCGACGTCGATAATGAACCGGTGGTTCGAAGCAGCTGGAAAAGATCGTAGGCGGTGTCCTGCGCGTGCCAACTGCTGGCGATGGCAGCAAGTACTGGAGGAGCCCGCCTGGGTGCATCGCGATTATATCCTGATGTCTCGTCGGTGGAGCTGTGTCTGGAGTCGAGATGTGCTGACCACCAGAAACCGTCCGGAAAGTCAGCGTTTTCTTTGACGATTTCCTTGAAATTGTCGGGGAAAGAACAAGCGGATTCGAGGTACTCGTTTATGCCCCGGCGTTGCGCAAGAGGGGATGTTATGGGAGTGCGGGCTTGTCTTGGAGATATGGGCCCTGTGGATGTGGTTAGAAAAGCAGAAAAGGTTATTTGCGTACAGAGCGTACCGGGTAGCAAAATATCCGCAAAGGAAGTAAGCGAGTTACGAAAACAGCCTATTACGCCCCAATGCTCCTCCTTTCCAGAAGGGGGATTGTCGGAACAACTCGAACAAGGCTTATTACTATCACACTAGCCATTGGGAAACATCAGCATCAGCGACTCATGCCATCATTCTAGAATTCAAAGACAAAATATAAGGAAAGTGTTAATGTACCTTCTTCTTGGCTATTCTGCACCGAAGGCACGGTGCTGTCTCGGGAAATAGCTGGAGCTCTCCAATGGATTCTAACCGCGGTTGGCTTGTCTTCGATCTTTTTAAAGGCGGTAGCATGGCTTCAATATCGGCGTCACTCGAGCTTCTACGCACACCTCTGTGTCCGGTTGGTGCATAAAAGGTATAATTTGCGGATAAGTCGTCCTTTTCTTTGGGCGGAAGTCGGGGGCTGATGACTGGTAAACTAGAAGACGGGGGCAGGTTTCCAGTTTGCACTGATGGGAGATGTCGATTCGATTGGGAACTGTTCAGAAGCCGAAGAGATTGCTGGTCGATGGGCGGCACTGGGGAAGAGGTTTCCACAGAGAATCCAGAATCCCTCTTTGCAGGAGGTCGGTGAATAAGACTGTGACGGTCTCTTTCTCCTTGGCTGGCGAAGCCGTAGACATAGTGGGCGCATTGGTCATCCCAACATTTGAAAGATGGCATCGATCGAGGTTTCCACTCAACAGCCTCTGCGTGCGCTTCAGAGCGATGCCGTGGAATCGAATCGTGCAGTTCGAGATGCCTTTCCAACCAGATGCCAAAGTCTGGCGGCGCCGAGGGCAGCGACCTCCTCAACGGCTCTATAACATCCACTTCTAACTGGCGCATTAGCCATAATTCAGCTCGTGCTTCCTCTGTGCTGCCAAGGGGGAGGCACTCGTTTGTAACGACATACCGTTTTGCAAGCATACTGCCTCGAGACATTCACACCGATACTGAAGCGCTCGCGCTTCTTCTGGACCAGAAAGAATAGGAATCTTGGATGCCAGATCTGTTTACACAAAGACAGAGATGTTTCCGTCAGCAACGCGCACAACCACATTGGTCTGCTTCACAACCCGACAAATAATACAGCAGGTAGAACAAAGAAATCAAAGGTCCTCTGCCCATATACATCTAACATATCGCAAGATGCTAGGCGGCGGGAGTGACGCAAAAGAGAAGAGAAAACCCTTGATATATTCAAATTACAAAATTATCAACATACCGTAGTGGTCTGTCAGATCCTCAAGAACGCGCAGTTTATGGCGTAACATGTCCAGCTCAACTGGGATTTCCAGGCCATGTCGGGCAGCGATCAAAACAGAAAGCCTCGACTGGATATCGGCTTGCTGGTTGAGTAACTGGCGGATAGCGACACCGAGGTCCGGCGCAGCATGATCTGCGCCAGTGCCAGACATAGTCACGACTTCATCCCCCAAAGCCTACCATATAGACATAGTTACCTGGGAGGGGACAAAGAGCGGTTAAGCTTGGCGTCAAAGCTCCTTGTCTTCCCCTTTATGATGCCGCTCCCAATGCGAGAAGCGCGATAACGCTTGTCGCTATGGCAGGTACCAAAATGTACAGCGGATGTCAGGTTGGTGATGGAGCTGAGTTGGGGATGGTTGGGAATGAGAACCAACGAGGGAGTTCGTTTCGAAAATTCAGGCAAAAATCCGAGGTAAGAGTTCAGGAACAAGAAGGGAGTGCCAGCAACATCGGCCTTGTTCCATGGCTCGGGCTCAGGCTCAAGAACAGGATCGGGCTCAGGCTTCCAGGGGAGACATTCAACAACACAAGGTGCTTGTTTTCTTTCCCATACAACATAGTCTGGGACTGGGACTCGTCGCTCGTCGCGACGGGGGCCAGTGTGTGTGTCCTGTTCTGTGTCTGTGCCTGTGTACGGAGCTCGGAGTATGGAGTACGGAATATGTGGACTGTGTGAGCGACTAGTTATTATGGAGCAGAGACGAACAGAGCAGAGCCAGAGCTGACAGAGGAGTGGTGGTGTGTGTGAGTGCTCAAAAGAGCCAACTGGTGTGTCTCTCTGGCTTGTGGCAAGTTGTGGGTGTGCGTCTGTTTCTTGTCCGTCTGCTTGTGTTTGTGTTCAGATTGCTGACTGGGTGTGTGGCGGCGGCGTGTGTTTGTATGCAGAAGGGTCCATGTCTTGCTGGGTGCCAAACAAGTCCAGCTATCGTCAGCCATCAGCCATCAACCAGGGCCGTTTGACGTTTCTCGTCCCTTGTTCTGTCTCGCGTCCGTTCTGGCGGGAAGGAAGGGGGGTTGCGCAACAGCAACGTGCAGCGACATGGTAATTATCAACAATGCCAACAAGGGAGCTGGCAGCGACTGCGAAGCATTACCTTGGACTTTTAGTGACATGGATGCCATGGATGCCATGGGACGGACGTTGGACGCCGTGGTAATTATGCCATGGATGAACTTGGCACTTGGCTGTTTGGGCGATCTTGGAGGAGTAGCACGGTGGGGGAGGGGCACCCACGCCGTTGTGGTTGGTGGGTGAGTGGGCCAACGGCGCCGGAGGGACTCGGCGGGTGTTATGGAGTCGCTATCTCACACTGTACGCCCTGGGCGTCATGCTTCATAGTCCCCATACAGTCTTCGTTTCATATTAGCACATGATGCCAGGTACGTACGTATATGCATGCATACCTCCAGCCCGGAGCCCAAGGGCCTTTCCTCCCAAACACTTGCGCACCCAGCGGGAGGACCCGGCCAGGAAGGTGCTCAAGTGGGTTCAACGCTGGCTAGCCGCCTCGACAGCTTGCGGGCTTGCCAGCCCAGTCCCCCCCTGACACCTCCAATACCCACCTCTCTCACTTACTCCGTCACTCTGCGAACTCATTCATCAATCTGCAACGACGAGCCTGGCCCGAGCTAGAGCCCTGTCACGAGCTGTGTCTGCATCCCAGCCCTGCATCCGCCATCCATTGCCCATCCGCCTCGGAAGCCCACGCCTCGGAAGCCCACAACTTAATTGCCCGCGTCTCCGGAACACAAGCCCAGTCCGGCTCTCTCTCTCTCTCGCGCCCATGACAGCGACAGGGACTACTCTGATGCAGATTCATCATATGTGCCCAAGCTGACAGTCCTTGCATTTCCCGCCTTCCGCTCAAAATCCCTCGGACTCCATACCACATGCGTGAGCTGAAATATCGCTCATCTAATTCTGCTTGCCCTTTGTCAGTCCATCACATTCACCTCTTGTTTGTCGTCTCTCACGAAAATTTTCCTCGAGGACGAAAAGAATCAAAAATGGGACACAGCAGAGCCGGACCAGGTGGAAATGTTTCTGACCGCCTCGAGGAGGGCATTCCATTGGTCTTTGGACCTTCTACCTGCATTCCAGCCCCAATTGTCAGAATAATACTCCGTACGGAGTAGTACTTCGAAATCACTCCAGCATACCCATGCCTCAAGGCTGTGCCCCCCGGCATGTTGTGATTCGTTGGCGTTAATGGGATCTTTTGGCGGACTAGACTCCGCGACTTTGGCTGGCTAACGGCTTATGCTTGACAGTTACTCCATGTGTCTGTACGTGTGTCTCCCATTGCCTGCAGGTAAACAGATTGGGTCGGTGGCTGGGGTCGTACACTCCGTGTTTAAGAACAAACAAGTACCTACCTCCGGAGTACCTAGGTAGATTAGGATGAATGCAGTGACTACGGTAGAGGAGCAGGGAGTCTGCCGTATAGAGATGCGACAGCCGAAGCAAGGACTGTAATGCCGTGCATAAGCCCATCTGCGGTAGTATTAGGGGATGAGATTAAAATAACAATCAACGCTTTAATGCTTCCCGCAGCAGCACTTGATAACCGGAAGATGAGAAGATAAAGTCTGCTGCGTTGGCCATGTTGCTTTCAACCTAAGATTTCTTCTTTCTCAAGGTAAACCGAAGGCAGGTCGTGATGAACATATTCCGAAACGTCAAAGGGTCACGGAACCACGCTGATAAGCACTGGGGTTGCTGGTCTAGGCCGCACTGTCCCCTGTTATTATTCATGAATTCCACAACTGCCGCTATGTATTTACTCCTGCAGAGTGTATAGTATGCTGAAAATAATTGAGTACGTAGTGGCAGTACGTATTAGAGGGCCTGCGAAGATACTGTATGTCATGTTGAATGGCTGCCTTTAACTTGAATGGCCATTCCTCCATCTATATGTATAATGCCACGGTTGAGCTGTCTCTCCTCTGTCTCAAATGGGCCACTAGGCAGCTTGTTTGAAATACCAACGCCGCGCTTTACCCTACCAAGAAATTACCCGCACCCGCGTAGGTGGAACTGCAATGTGTTTCGTCCTATGTCTTGTCTCTGTCGAGAATCAATCGTTACCCTTCTTTTTTGGGGTGACAGATGTTAGATCAGATAAAACAGTGGGGGTCATGAGTATTCGACCCCTTTGGACTCGCTCAACGCCACCGGGTAGTCGAATACTTGAGACCACAAACTGGTAATTCCGGGTGAAGACGAGCGCATAGCAATTACACCCCACCGGGGTTTTTTCCAGTCTCGTTCTTATCTTGTTCTCGCAACCTAGCTCACCCATCTTTCTGTGGGGTGTGTGCACTTGGCACCCTCTTCATTCGCTGCTCGCCCATTTCTCTTCTCGTAGGGGTATTTCCTTGCCAGACGCTGCACGGGTGCCGTCTTCTTCAGCCTTGAAGGCCCAATACTCGCCGAGCCGCTCCTCGGCGTATGAGGCGTAGTCGAAGTCGATGTGGGAGATCGTGGCTTGGATCAAGGACCAGATACCCCAGAAGAAGCCGGGAACACCCCGGAACACATCCACTTCCTCCATCAGCTTCCGAGTCTCTTCTTCCTCATCCATTGCCTCGCCAGACAATTTAGCAAATGAGGCAATGTACTCCCGAATGAATGCAAGACGCTGAGATTTGGTGGGAATGGCGGCATAGTCGCAATTGTAGCCCACCCATTCGGCAAAGTGGTTTGAAATGTCAAAAGCAACAGGCGATGGAGTTCCATACTCGTAGTCAATGAAGCTAACGGACGGCTCGGCGCTGCCATCTCGATGAATAATTACATTGGCGCAGAGGAGATCACAATGAGCAAATACCAGCTACACATTCACATGTCGGTTAGCAAGTGTCCATTTGTGAAAGTCGGATACAGGATTGAGAGAGGGACCGAGGCGGAAGGTAGAGTGTCTCAGGCAACATACCCCATTGTTACCCAATCCAGGGCGGTGGGCAAGACGCTTAACCATGTTTTCAAGCTCTTCTTGCAGCAGAGCTCGTCTCTCACGACGCGACTCTGTGTCTGTAGGCAAGGCCAAGATCCACTTCTGCATCGTCGTCCAGACATTGGGAATAGGCTTTCCAGCGGCGGCATTCAGCAGGAGGGTGTGCTTATTGGCGTCACCGTTAGTGGAGCTGTTTGGCCGGAGGGACGAGTCCGGGATACATGGCACAGTGGCATGCCACTGGGCTAGTCGTCGAGCAATAGCCTTGAGGATGAGAGGATCGGCTAGATCTTTGGGCTGAGCGACCGCGCCTGGGATGAAGCGGTAGAGCATACCGTTGCCGAATCGAGCCAGCAGCTGAGGAGCCAAGTGGTATCTCATGAGGAGTTCATGGTTTGCTGCCTCACGCTCACGATCAATAAGGACGTCGGTACCGTTTCCGTAGGCTCGGAGCAGGACAGCATCCTTGTCGATGTCAGCCTTGGTGAGTCCGGGACGGCGGTTGACTGCCTTGAGCAAGGTGTTAGTGATGCCGTCGGTGAAACGGACAAAATCGATGTGAGCTTCGTCCTTGGCCCAGTGAGGAAACAGCGTGAGGATGAGTTTCATTGCCGAGCGTTGAGAGTCACTGTTGTCGTATTTCAAGGGGATGAAGCGAACGTGACCATGTTCAGCAGCAGAGACTGCAGCGGCAGGCGACATGATGGATGAAGCGAAAGGGCTGTCCGTCCGACCAAGCAGGGGACGAAAAAAGAAAAAGAAAAGAAAGAGGGAAGAATTCAAGTCAAAAGCAGGCGGTTATGTGGTGTTTCATTAACCTCGAGATGGTGGATGCCGTCAATTTCAGGGCGGATTCGCGCAGACAAGGCTACGAGCACCAGGTTTCACGGCGGCGGATGATGTCAGGAGCGTGAAGCAGAGGACTTATAGACAGCTCAAAGAAGGACACAGGAACTCTTGAAGGGTGATGCCGAGGCCTGCAGTCGAGGTGAGGTTGGAACAGCGCACACGACCTATTGCCCTTCCAAGGAGTAGTTCAAAGCAAATGGGATTTGGAGGGTGCGATTGAGCGTGGGTGGGCCAGTTAAGGGAAGCGTCGCGCCCATGTGAAAGCGGCAGTGGTGACGGCGTAATCTCAAGGCGTCAGTTAGTCAATGAGCCAAGTCAATCTGGGCCGTTGATCGAGTGGCTTGATGAAGCGAGCGTTTGGTGCCACAGTGCTTGGCTGAAGATGCGGGCCCCCGAGGCCAACTCGACTCGCATGCGGCTGCCGCTGGCTCCTTCAGAGAAGAGACTGATGAATCTGGATTGTGTTTTACTGCACAGATGCAGGATGCAGTTTACACAAGGAACTCTCGCCATCTGGACAAGATCGCGGACGAGAGACGAATCAGGAGAACGAGGGGCGCTGCAGCCTCCAAGTCCCGACTTCGGTGGATGAAATTTGTTGGGCACAGGCGTCCAATCAGCAGGAAAGAAGAACAGGGGGGCAAGGGGGCAAGGGGGGGGCAGAAGCGGTCGGGGAGCCACCAGGACCCTGTCTTGCATCACAGGCATCCCGAGGCACGGGGCACGGAAGCATTGAGGCATTGGAAAATGTCAAGTCAACTGGTCAACTGGTACTCTGCGCGCAGCATCAGTTGCCCCCTTAAGCCGCACCGAGTTACTCCGTAGGCACTTTAGAATGGATGGTCCAGATGTCATCAAGCCGGCTGCAGTGGGGCCAGACCCTGGAAGGCATTGCAAACAAACGAAACGGAATGCCCTGCTCGCCCGCGCGTTGGCTCGCAACTCGGTACACAGAAAAGGGTTGGGGCAATTCATCAGACCCGCAATTGCATGTCCGGATACAAGAATATCTGAAACATTTGGAAACGGCCGGCGACGTCACAGTGCTTCCTCTCCTCGAGGATCGCCATGTTTCTCCAAAGCCCGCATGAGCCGCCACTCTTCATCCCCTCCACCACGGCAGAGCTGTCAAAACACTACGAAGCTGAGAGGGCTCCTTTGGTCCATCGTTTCCAAACTTGTGCCGGGTACGGAGTGCGCCGCACCGGGCACGGAGCATGTGTGCCTCTGAGGGGGGCACATTGCACTCTCCGCCATGTTTGGTTTGTTCGTGGTTTTCATCGCCCGAAACAACATCTGAGGCAAAATCGCCTTTTGTACAGGCAGGCTGAGCTAGAGCCTTCCCGGGTTAGCTCACGCCTTGCCCTCATCAACCTCCCCTGAGGTTGCGACCATGCAAGCATGCGCATGCATCGAAAGCATGTACATGGATAACTGCGTTGCCTCGCTGCAAAGAAACCTCTGGTGCAGAGAGGGAGGGGGTGGCGGCATGTCGATGCCATCCACGCTCGACCAGATCGATGCTCAAGCTCAAGCTCGTGCCCAGGCCTGCTTTGCTTGGCTGCCGAGCCACCTTCTGTGCTTGTTCCATATGACATGCCTTGCGCAAGAGTTGCGTGAGCCGTGTGAGTGTGTGACACACCCGTTTCCTATCTGGTTTCTCTTCACAATGCCCTCGAGCCGTTGATCGCCGAAGCGCGTTGCGAAACGCACCCCTCGGGATCCCGTACATCAAATATGGCTGGCCTCGTTGCACTGGTTGATGGACAAGGACAGGTGACAGGAGAGACATGGACGAGATGTACCCCTCGATGCCGGAAAAGCGCCACACTGATTCCGTGGTGTGCGTTCATATATTGCAACTGTGCCTTGCCGTGGCTTGTTCAACTCTTTGTCTCATCTGACCGCTAGTTTGTCACTCGTTTGATAAAGGATCCTGCCAGTTGAACATGAGTTGTAGTGACGTGAGTTGTTATTGTTTTTCAATTGGATCGCCAAGTTGGGATGTAGTAAGCAAACCTATTGTTTTTATAGTACCACTGCCTCCTCGACTCAAGTTCACTCATGAGCTCCCAATTCTGACCGTGTATTACGCTGACTTGCTTGCCACCTGTGCTCAGCTTGATGGGGTATTGGATTACTCACGACTTTAGAGCAATCCAAGTCCAAGTAGTATAGACACGATAATGTATGCAAGTAGACATCAACCCCAACTGCGGCTTAGGTGGACAACGAAATCATTTGTGTAATCCGGATAGGAATGTTGACCTCAACGAAGAGTGATAGATGGTAGGCTGCTACCTGGTATGCTTTACTTTGGATACCAGTGTTTTGGCCGTGACCAAAATTCTGCAACAGTGGAAAGAATGGCTTGTCAATGATACGTACGGCAAAAGCGCCCTGGTGCCAAGCTCGGCGGACTTCATGTCTATGTCAAAGTTCGATTGGGTTGCGAGACCCCTTTTTATTATCGTCCCAGCATGCTCAAGTACGCCGGCATCGACCCAACCACAACATGTCATTACTCAGAAACAAGACATTTGTATAATTCAACTAAGCCCATACATACTAAAATATTGGCATTGTTACTTGGTTTGAGTAGTCAAGATTACCAGCCGCCGACTCAATGCGGTCAGCGCAAGTGCCAAAGATGCGATCCCACACCCGAGTCTGCTTGCCATAATTGAAACTCTTCCTCCAGCCCTTGCGATGGTGCAAGTCATGATCCTCGCCCACGAGGTCCATGCGGAACGCTTCAAGGAGCCAAACGACTGTCGAGGGTGGCGCGAAATTGGCCCGGACACCACTATGCCCCCAAATCTCTGAATACACCACGTACTGGTGACATATCCACCATTCATGGAATCCCAGCGGTAAGCCCATAGCCCAGAGCGTCATGTAGGTCAAGAAAGGCATGCCGACCATGTCAAAGAATTCCTGCTCGTGATCAGCATAGGCTGTCATGAGCGGGCTAGGGTGTTTAGTCAAGTGATGCGTGCGATGGTACTTCCATAGGAATGGGATGTCATGCATGGCGCGATGGTACCAGTAGAACCAAAAGTCAAGGATGACACTGTAGAGGCCATTCTCAATGGCAAGCCAAGCCCACCATCGCCAGTCGCCCAGCGAGGCCGCGGGAGACTGGCGATGGGTACCGGTCATATAAAGAGCCATGGCGATTCGCGAGGCGGTTGTTTTGAGGAGCGAGGCGGCAATCTTTGCCACGCCAACGTCTGGAACCCCGTCACGCTGGCTTACGTCCCCGTCCAGGAACCCATACTTGTGCCCCAGGCTACGGAGGATATGGACTTCGCGGATGGCGATGGCATTGGAGGCGGAGAAGTAGAGAGCGAAGAGGCCGAGATAGCCTGGGCTCTGCCGCCCAGTCAATGATGTCCAGGCCTGTTGGATCGCGAGTGGAAGCAGCGCGTAAGTGAGGATCCATAGATGCTGCGACCACTGAGAGACATGTGGCATCTTGTCCGTCTTAGGATGCACTGGTATGGGCTTGTCCAGGTCGACAGGATGCGCGTTGAGCAGCTCGATCATCCAGTGCTCCTTGGTCCATGTGCTCCTATCGGCCAGTCGCCAGGTGGACTTGATCGAGTCCTTCGCATTCGGTTTTACGATCATGTTTTCGCTTTTCTTTTTTTGTAAGTTGGAGCCTGCGATACACTTTGCCTCTTGTATGTACAAGACTTAGCATCTATCGGCGAGGTAGCTGAGAGGTGCAGGTAGACAGGCTCGAGGCTCTCCGAAGATCCCATCCTTTAAATCCGTCGATTGTAGTCCACAGCGGAGTGATCACACAACTTTCCCGATCCCTCAACATGGCAGGAAACGTGACGTGTCGTCAGGATTCGTTGGCAGCCTAATGTTTTCCAGTGCGCACGCAAGGCTGATGTTGTTCGTCCGATGGCCCGGTCCGTGGAGCACCAACAATCCCTCAACGCCCTCAACACCAAATTATCGCGACACCACCCCATAATTTCTGGATGATGCGTAAGAGCTTTGATATTACTCTTAACGTTCATGGCTCGCAAGAACTCCTGGCCGCCATGAAGCCTGAAGTATCGGTCGAGGCTGTACAGCTCTAATCACGCCGAAGGCTCAAGGAGCAGTTTGAGGACGCTGGGCTGAGAACGGACGACCTGTCGACGGACTATTTACCTAGCCTTCGCTCCAAGATACTTTCTTCAAGTATGAATTGATGGCTCTCGTATTTGACACATGGTCTTATGGCAGAGACATTATCAATTAGCTATATCGAATCATCGCGAACTGCAGGGTCGTCGCAGACCCAAGGGACCTTTCACATGCTAAACCATAGTCACCTGTTCTGCCCTAGAAAGTTCAGAAACTCTCCCTTGAAGGGAAGCCTGGTCTATTTGGTGGTCAAAAACAGATTATAGTAGGTACTGTAGAGACTCGAATTCGGTAACATTCAAAAATGCACATCGCCACGAATATTGAGTGCTCAAATTTGGACAATCTTGGCCTGCCCTGGCAAGCATCTGGATACACAGGTACCTATAAGTAGGTACTAGGTAGTTGCCATCAACGATGCCTCCATAATACATGCAACGCATCTGTTGGAAGTGCCGACCGAACTGCGAGGCATGGGCCATTTCCGAATGGAGTAAGTTGGACCTGCTGCATTTTCACGGCACGGAGGCCACAAGAAATAGACTCTTTGTTTCTGTTTCATTGAAAGCCTCTAATAACAAACAAGACATCCTCTCAGCCTTGCATACCAAGTACACGCCAAAAGGAGCCTATCTGCGCTTTAGGCGACTTGCTTGTCCAAGTTGGCAACGAAGGACAACACCACTGACACAACAGTGCCAAAAGTCTGAATAGCAAACCCATCCATGAATCTAACCACAATAAACTCGCATCAACTAAGCCGCCCCATCCGCGTTGTCGGTTGCCATGCCGAAGGTGAAGTGGGAGACGTTATAGTCAGCGGTGTGCCAGATGTACCAGGCAGGTCCATGTCTGAAAAGCTGCAGAACTTTCAAGAGTCCACCGACTATCTGCGGCATCTCCTCTTAAACGAACCCCGCGGCCGCGCTTCATTGAACCTAAATCTACTTGTGCGGCCGTGTGATCCTAGAGCTGACATGGGGCTGATCATCATGTGCAACGACTCGTACGCTTTCATGTCTGGCTCCAACGTCATATGCGTGACAACAGTCCTACTTGAAATAGGCATGCTTCCAATGACAGAGCCTCAGACAATTCTCACTTTGGATACCGCAGCTGGCCTGGTTACTGTCACAGCGCAATGTCAAGCAGGAAAGTGCAAGTCGGTGGCTTTTGATAACGTCCCTGCATTTGTTGCTAAGCTGGATTTTCCGGTTGATGTGCCTGGAATAGGCATCGTTTCCGTCGACGTTGCCTGGGGCGGCATGTGGTATGGGTTTGTGGAAGCTGGCGCTCTGGACCTTACGGTGTCGAACGAGCATTGCCGCAAACTGGTTGCGTTGGGTGACAGGGTGACCAAGGCCATCCAAAGCCAGTTTACCCCGGTGCACCCGGATAAACCAGAAATGGCAGGTGTTTGTACCGTGTGTATAACTGAACCAGTCGCAAAAGAGTCGGGTTGTTTGAGGGCGAAAAACACAGTCATCGTCCCACCAAGTAGGCTGGACAGGAGCCCCTGCGGGACAGCGACGTCTGCCAGGATGGCCATCTTGTACGCTCGCGGCCAGTTGCAAGTAGGGGAACCCTTTAAACACCACAGTATCATCGGCACTGAGTTCATCGGGCACATTCAGCATGCAGCAAAGGTCGGGGCGTTCGATGCCATTGTTCCGAATATATCGGGGAGGGGCTGGATCACAAGCTACAAAGAGATTGTTCTGGATGCTACCGATCCATATCCAGAAGGTTTCCGAGTAGGTGACCAGTGGCCGGTTGCATCCGACGAATAGATGCGAATTCACTCATGTATCCCGAGAAAGATAGCATAATAGGAAATTCTCTTGACCCGGTTGATGATTCTAAATCGGGGAGGGACTTTGTACAATCTCCTGGATCGGACCCTCAGTAAAATTCTAGAATAGAGAGCATGGCTTAGCGTACCTGAGGCAGATCATCGAGATATTTATCAAGCGAAAAGGTTACTGAATGGTACTTGTTACTTATACAGTTATCATGTCTGGCATGATGGGTTGTCTGACATGATGGGTGGTCTGTAGTCGAACGGGTCTTGTGCTCTTAGTGCTTGACGCCACCGCACGTACCCATGGCCAACGACATGCAACGAGCGGTCATGTGATTGGTCGCACCAGCTCTCTTCCAACGATAAGGACTCTTGCCTATATTCACTCCAAAGGCGAGCGAATTCAGATGTGCATTTGGGGGATGTCTTGGCTGTGAACGAATTGGGTCTCTTCAGGCGACCTAGTCATGCGACACGCCGGTTTTACGTTTCGCTCCTGAATGGAGGCTCCGAAGGTTATGTGACATATCACGGCCATCAAACACCCACAACCGCAATGTCGTCTATTACCAGCGAAAACTTCCTTGCTGTCGCGCTGATAATCAACCGTTCGCGTGACGGGCCGGCATTTGTCTTCCACCACCCACCAGATGTCCAGCCCGTCACGAACCACCCTGAACAGCCTGTTGAGTCCTCTGATGAGGATGGGGATATCCTCCTCCAACGACTCGCTCAGCCCATGAGCCGGGATATCACCGCCACAGACGGAGGCGGCAGCAAACATCGACACCACGATGGTCACCTCATGACGGAGACTGGCTCTCAAGTCGTTCCTTGGGAGCGTGTGGCTGGATTCCCGACACGGGATCTGGCTAGCATCCTCACTCCCGCGCGGTCCTATCACAAGAAGCTGTTCCAGCTGTCACTCGACCCCGTGCACTGCATCTCATATCCCATCCACGTGCCAGAGAATGGAAAATGGAAGCGCCACAAGAAATCGAAAAAAGCCAAGGCCCCAAGACAGTCGGAGGAAAACCTGGCTCCCCATGAGACAGAACCGCCAACGCCATCCGTCGTCATCTCGTCAGAGTCTGCCAAAGACAAAGACGGCAAGAAAGACGATTTGGACGAAGAGAAGCGCAGTTCTATGACAATGTTTAACCTGGTCTTTATTTTAAATCCAAAGAAAAGCGAAGACAAGGAGCTTGTGGATGCGTTGTATCACAACGTGGTAAAGAAGGTGAATAAGGCGTACAAATACAGCCAGCAGCACTGCGAGTTCATATGGAAGGAGTCAAAGCGGATATTGCTAGCCAAGGATAGAGCCCGAGAAGACGGTAAGTTGTAAATTTTTACCAAATCCGCCCCATTCGCCGAGAATGTGTTTTTCTAACCCTAATCTACAGAAAAAAGCATGAACGCCCTATGGAAGGAGCTGCTTGAGATGTCCTCGCTAGCAGCATCTGTACACGACATATACGAAGCTGTGTCTCGCAACAAGATTGCAACGCTTCACCTAGACACACCGTCGGGAGTATTGACTCCATCTGTACAGATTCCAGCGCCTTTCTTCGTCTCCGACCTCCCGGCAGACCATGACCACAGTCAGCATGGTCTCTGGCTAACGACGGCGAACTCGTTCCTCAGCCACGAACAACTAGACGACCCAGAGTTTCTTGACAAAAACTTTGCCCTGCTCCTCCTGGAAGACGAGAAAAAAGTTGTAGCTGAGCTCCAAGCCGACAGAGACCCGACAACAGTGTCCATGATTGAATTTGCGCGACTAGCCAAACCCACCATGTCGTATGTTCCCCTGTCCTAACAATGATTATATCACAAACAGACAAAAAAAAGACGGTCCTGACATGCCCCCTCAGATTCTACCAGTTCGGGCAAAGCAACGTCCTCACAGCCAGCCAAGTCCGCAAGTATGCGCAGCACTTCATATTCTGGCGCCGAGCCATTGCCATACCACCTCTACACGCCAGAGACGTTTACATGGTGTCGCCTAACTGCGATCTAAGCCGCCTCCCCAGAGACGCAGCCGAATGGCAACGCGCGTTCCCGCTGGCACCACCGCTGCCCAACTTTCTCTCGGAGCTATCTTACGCACCGCGGCCCTACAAGACCTTCTGCCCCAGCAAGCCGCACCGCCCTCTATACCTCCGCATGCTGGCGTGGCTCTTGCGAGGAGGATGGGTGACCCAGCTCTGCACATTCGCCTACGTTGTCGTGTGGCCCGAGATCCTGTACGAAGTAGAATATGACATGGAAGCCGAGGAGCTCGCGGCGGCGACAGCACAAGACAACAACCGCAACGATAGCCAGCCCTCCCCATCGCCGCCCTCTGCTGCTCCCCCAACCACTAACCAAGAACCAACAACCCAAGACGACCTCGATCCCGCCGCACCCCTACCCGGAGCCGGCGATGAACCCAGTCCCAAGACCCGCGTCCCAGCACCAACCTCCACGGCCCAGCACGCCGCGGAAATGGCACGCCTCGAACGCATCGCCATGAAAGCCCACCGCGAAGCAGCCGACAAGGCGACGGCGCACGCACGCAAAACACCCCCCCTCCCGACAAGCCGGCCCTCTGTCAACGACAGCCCCCACCTCGTCGGCCTGACGCCGCACATCATCCTCGATGCCAAGAAGGCCACAGGCAAAGAATCACGCTACCTGTCCGCCATTGCGCGCCGCCTTAAGGACGACAAGGTCAAATCCGCATGGTCCGTCATGTGCAAGTACTTTGACGGCCGGTGTGCGCTGGAGAGGATCGCTCTGCAGGAAGACATGAAGCGCAAGGAGACGTGGACGTTGCTAACGGCCATGAGCGAGTATCTACTCTGTACCAGACACTGGTGACATAACCAAGTTATTTGTAACAACTGAAAACCACCAGTCTCTTGAAATACACGCGCTCAAGGTCACTAGTTGGGAGAGATGGACCAGTGTAAAATGAGCATTTGAACATTCCCATGAACCATCTACCCGACAGAAAGAGGGGGAGCAAACAAACGTCACACACACCCAGCAAGCCACTGTATTACAACGAACAGCACAAAGCTAATGAATAATACTTGCATCACATGCCACTCATGAAACGAAATCACAGAACTAAATTCCAATGTAGCTAGAAACAAAAAATAAGAGCCTTCAAAGGCCCACACAGGGCGAGGAGGGCCTTGATCACAAGAGCCAACCGAGGTATCGCAAAATCAACAACTATATATCTCTGAGACACGACGCCGAAAGTAGAAAAAGCTCCACAAAAAAAAGTAAGAAAGCTCAGCAGGAAAGAAAAGGGAAAAAAAAAAATTCAAGTCTTGAGAAATGACCAACACGGCGCGATATGAAGAGAAAGACAACGGACAACGACAAGAAAAAAAGCCACCAAACAATCATCCCTTCCCTGTATAATGTAAAACTTTGCGCCCTGTATATAGAACCCTGTTGGGGACGGACACCGCCGGCCCAAAATATCCATGGGTCATGCCAACCTCCGTGTAGTATGTATATGTGTATGACCCCTCAACGCCGCTGGTCTGGAAGCGAGCCAAGTATTAAACACACCCCCCCCAAAAAAAAGGACGTGGGAAGTATCCCGCCACGCGAGCTTTCCCGAACTAGAGGGAAGAAAACCACAAGATGCCATAAATGCCAAAGCTATCGCAACTTATACTCCGGTTATCATTCGATACATTAAAAAAACAAAGTAAACGCCGATGAATGCAAGCTGCTAGGGTGAGATGAAATACTTAGTTAAGGTCCATGTCGTATTCATCATCCTCCTTAAAATCCAGGGAGGCGTGGCCGCTGCCGTCATCATCAGGATCATTCCAGAACTGCGCAGTGTCATTGATGTCTGAAGTCATGGCCGTGGTGCCATTTTCGTCGGGTGTAATGCCAATGGCATCGAGGTTAGCGACCAAGCTGTTTACAGGGTCACCACGATAGTCAGTGTGGCTAGGCACCCGGAGGCCAGACCCAGCAGTTCGTGAATAAGAAAAGCTGGCAGCATCGCTCCTGGAGATGGCCTCCATCAGCTCAGTCTGCATACGTCTCTCATCATCGGTCAGCTCGAAGGGAAAATGACCGCCCAACTCAGCGATCTGGTTCATAAGTTCCTCTTGCTGTTGAAGCTTGAGGTGCAACATCCACATCAGGTCGCGTGTCCAGCTGACGGCGCCGTTGAGAATATCGCCCTTGTTGGGACCCTTGTCCTTCTCCTCAATAGGTAGACCAGTGGTGATGTTGCCGGCATTGCTACCAGCAGCACGTCGTGCACCAGGACCAGCCAAGCCCGATGTGGCCTGGGAAGGGTTGGACATGCCAGTCAAGGTGGGAGACAAGGGTGTACCATTCTGGATCAACTTGCGAATCTTCTCATCTTCGAGGCGGTGAGCGGGAACAAGCTTGCTAAGATCCTGAATTCTTTCGTTGATGTTGTCTCGGCGGCGACGCTCAACAAGATTGTGGGACTCTCGACGGCGCTTGCGCTTCATCTCCTGGGAGGAAACAGCATTGGGGTTCACACCTAGCTTGGTTGGCATCGAGGTGCCTCCCTTGAGCATGACCTCATTTATGGGCACCATCCCCTGCTGCATAGGCGAAGAGAAGCCGGAATTGTAGGAGGCAGGGATGCTGCCAGCGGGAGTGTTGACCCATTGTCCGGATGGCGACTTCTCATGGCTGCCCGATGGCCGCATGGCTTGTGGGCCAAATCCGGGTGAATCCTGGGAGCCGATGGGAATACCGTGAATGCTATTGGTCTTGGGCGTCATTGGGCTGCGGTTGCTCGAGGCTTTGCGTTGCATCTGCTGGGACATTCTGGCCCTGGCCTTGAGAAAGTTGGGGTCGTTTCCGTCAGCACCCATCTCGCCTGCAGCCAGCGGCGAGCCCGAGTAGGACATGGGAGAATGTAACGAGCCACCAAGGGAGTGGTTGTTCTGCATCTGGCGGAATTGAGCTGTGAAGCCCGCAGCATATGGGCTCTGGATGGGGTCACCGTCTGGCGTCTGCGAGTAGCCGTTCATTTGAGCAGGGTCAATCTGTAAGCCGGAGCCTCTGTGCGACTGGAAGGCGTTTTGGCTGAAGGCCATGTTCATATTGCTATAGTCTTGGCCTTGGCCATGCATACCTGCCTGGCCGTCGGAAGGGCTGGCAAGGCCATCTAACAGTTCATCGTCGCCAAAGACTGCGTTACCGCTGGAGTAACCGTTCGGGGCGTTGCTGGAGGCAGAGTTGAAGTTGTTGGCATTGGAGAAGGAGGGAGAGTATCCGCCATTCATGGCGAGGTCGTTGGGGTCGATATTGCCACCGTGAGGGGCGGTAGCGAAGTGGCTAAACCCGTGTTGGGCCATTGTATATAGATTGAGCTTCTGGAGCTCTGGAGATGTTAGGGTTGCCAGCTTTGTGGTTTGCGAAGGAGGAGTTGACGGAACCGTCAAGAGATGCTGCACGCCGTCGCGACTGGGATGCGCAGTCGCCGCAGGCGTGTGGTTTTCGTTATCAGCGCCCGATGCGACACTACGTGGATTTAATGAAGCGCTCAAGTATAGACGGTGGGCTGCGCGGAAGCGGAATACGTTAGCTTATCCTATGCAATCAGCCGAAAGGCCGGGGCTGATGAGAAATAGAAAAGGACAATAAATGTAGCCGGAAGGGCGACGGCCATACGTGTCCGTCGGAGGCGGCGGGTAGGGTTCTGAAATGGAAGAGGGGCGGCGTCCAAATTGGAGGCCATGTACTGCGTACTGAGCACGGAGTACACCATAGTGGAATTTGCCGGCAGTTGTCAAAGGCTCATTACTCACTCACTCTGGAAAAGGTGGACGGCAGAAGTGCTAGCGAAATGCTACTGCCTTTCCATCTACACCAAGCGAAGGAGGTGGACGTTGGCGTTGGCGTTGGCGTTGGCGATGGCAAGGGAGCCTTTACGGCCGTGAGTGGAGGGAGTCGTCGTTGCAAGAGGGAGATAGAAATGCGACGTCGGAGGATTGTCGCCGCCAAGTGTTTGCTTTTTCAACGAGCCAGTGGCTTGCTAGAGAGGGACGGACGCACGGAGCTGCTGCAAATGGTGGATGGTTTGGCAGGGCGGTAGGCAATGAAAAGACGAGACGAGGCGGGCACTGCGAATTCCACTCGGTGGACTTTTGTGAATTTGTTCCTTGTTGCAGCCACGTCCAGGCTTCTAGATGGCGCTTGGCCTGTCCTCTTCTGTGCGTCGGCCAGCGTTCTGCGAACTAGGGCTAGGCGGTGACGAGTGACTTGCGGGCGGTTGGCTCAAGGTTGGTTGGGCTACCGTGTCCTAGGCTGAGGAGGCGTCCTGGGACCAGACCTGGGATGGTGTGAGAGGGAAACTTCGACGTTCGTTTAAAGCTGTGGGACACCGTTAGCCAGGTCGTCTGCTTCGGGATGCTTCAGTTTGCAGCCAAGCCAAGAAACGGGCGAGGAATAGGATGTGCAGGGTTGCACTACCAACCGTAGGGAGGGTGGTAGTTGGAGAGGCTTGAGAGGATGGAGGAAAAAAGCGCAGGAGTCGAGGAGTCGAGGAGTCAAGGAGGGAACAGAGGACAATGGAGGATGATGATGATGCACGGCTTGGGTTGGTAACATAACATGGGATCTGGAACCGACGAAGGTCGCTGATGCAACACTTCAAGTGTTTTGGCCGCAGACATTTGGAAGGAGCACAGCACCAGCGGCGGTTCTCGCGGCCACTTGGCAGCCAGAAATGCAGGGCGATCAACGAGGTGCGGGGGATCAATGATAGGCATCGGAAGGGGCAGATCTCCGCGACTAGCTGCGGTGCGGGACCACTGACGACATGGCAGCCATGATAGCATGGAGAATAAAAATAATCACAATAGAGTGTGCACATACCAGGAATGTATCGCGGCGACTGAGACACGTTTCGTGAGACAGAAGCAAGAAAGAGTCAAGCTGCAGACGTGCCGAGCGGAACGAGGTCAAGATATACCAATGCTGGCCAGGCCAAGAATATGCGAACCAGGCTGGGTCGCAAAAAGAGGCAGACTCGTTGCTTGGTACGGAGTAAAATGGGTCAAGCAGTCTGGTGTTCTAAACTTGTTCAGCTCCAGTGTGAAGACGCCGACGTCGACAAGCACTTGACTGAAGATAGTGGGAGGGGCGGCTGAGGAGAGCCAACGTCAGCTTTCAAATGTTGGGTGGGGAGCAGCATTTAGCATGTGCCAGTGAGCTTGGGGCGTTGCTGGGGCGCAACTGACGTCTCACCTCGGGGTATATTGTACGGTGACGGTGGTACTTGGTTGCTGAGAGATGCGCTATTCAAACGTCGAGAGCCTGTCGATGGCGTTGTCGGTGCGGCTTGGGGCTGTGCCAAAGCGACGGGAATATATTGAATAAAATAGGCAGCCTTGAGTGAACTGTTGCAAGCACGTATTACCAGACGTCAAGTGAGCACTTGAGGGCGCGCAGGTTCGGTAGGCCCGGAAATATGCTGCCTCGGCGTCAGTACTAATACTACTAATGTACTTAAAGTATAAAGCCTTCAACTCTGGAGCTCAGACACAGCAAGACCAGCCCCCAAAGCGATTGGTGACAAAGCAGCAACAAATAAGGTGCGACTTGGCGCCATGAGTGCGCACCTTCCCGTGCAGTTCGTTACACAAAGATGCAGTACGAACAGCCGTACGCATGTGTGCCCCTTGGTCCTTGCGATCCCCAGACATGGACTGGTCGGCTTGTCGTTTTGGATGCAAGTGGGGAGGGAGGTGGTGCGGGAGAGATGGACCAACCGGATATTATGCACGTATGCAGCCCAGTTTGAAGCTCAAAGCTCGAGGCTCGATGGCTTTATTGCTTTGTGCCTTGGCTCCTTC